ATATGTGCAATATTTTTTAAAATCCACCACATGAGGCTTATGTACATAGATATGTAAGAGATGGACTAGTTCTTAAAGATACAAAGAACCTATACACATGAAGAATAAACAGAATTTCCCCTTCAGACTATAGAGCTCAGGATCTCCCTCACATTGATCCAACAGAAATAGAATGTGCTATTTTACTTATTTTAACTTATTTTTACTTACTTATTTTAAATGTCTATCAGGATTAGGGGCACCTGGGTGGCCCAGTCGGTTAAGTGTCTGCCTTCAGCTCAGGTCATGATCCAGGGTCCTGGGATCAAGCCCTGCATTGGGCTTCCTGCTTAGCGAGGAGTCTGCTTCGCCCTCTGTCCTTCCCCCCTCACTCGTGGGCTCTAGCTATCTCTCTCTCTCCAATAAATAAATAAAAATCTTAAAAAAAAAAAAAGTCTACCAGGATTTAAAATGAATACCTCATATGGTCAGCAATGCTAGGGACAGAAATATACCCAACAGATATTCATTGCAATTTGGGGGTTTTTTTGTTGTTGTTTTTACTTTATAGTATTTTAATTCCAGTGTAGTTAACATACATTGCAACTTTGCAGTAGCTAAAAAATTGCAAACAATCGATGCCCATCAATAGGGAACTGTTTGAATAAATTATACCCCTAACGGACAAATAGGGTAATACATATAGCTGCCTTCTTATATGCACAGAATATCCCTGGGAGAAATCATTATTAGTAATCACCTCTGGTGGGGCGGAGAGGGGTGCCTAAGGGCCAGGAGTGGGGGCTTTATTCTCCTCCTTATATTATTTGAATATTTAATCCTTTACATAGATTACTTACTCGCAAAATAAACTTTGCAGGAAAACATGTTTTTGAAAGGAAAAATGCCACTATCTGTCTTGCTGAGTGTGTGACTATGAAAGCAGCATCACCAACTAAGAGTCTCTACCTAGTAGACCCCCGTCAAGAGTTATTTGCTTCATTACCATTAGCCTCTAAAAATACCCTTGCCCTTCTTTCCCAGGAGAAGTCTCACACAATGGGAACTCTTTTTCAACATGGCCTTTAATTTCCAGAGCAAAAGACTTAAGCAACAAATAAAACTGAGTGGGGAGGAAGCAGCAAATGTCCCTATACCAGAAGAACTGTGCTGGATGATGGGGGAGGGACCAGGGAGATGGGGGCTGGCCTCCAGAGTCTTTTTCAGGTGCTAAATGCTCTGAAAAGACCTCTCTAAACTCCAGCATCTCCTGAATCTTCATTAGAAGAGCATTCAAGGTGATATAATGGAACTCTGAGTCATTTCATCAAAGATTAAGTGCTTTTATTTCACTTGCTACTTCCTTGACCCAAGGTACAGAGAACTCTTTGGCCAACCTTCTGATACTTCTGCTGCCAAGGCTGTGCAGCTTTTTCCCTGAATCTCCTGGGTATCCCAGTCCCTTTAATCACAAATACAGTAATAATGTCCATGCTCTTGCTCTAAGACACTCTGGTCCCCTTCAGTTGGCTAGTATGGCAGTGAAAGAATCCCAATGCCAACTCTATCTTCCCAGAACAGGGTGGTTCAGACATCCTACCTCTCTCTCTCTCTTTCTCTCTCTCTCTGACTGAGCCACTGCCCAGGTAGCCATGTTTCTCCACTTGTATCAGATAAATGACTACCTGCTGAAAGAGACACTTCCCAGATGCTGAAAACTTCACTATTAGAAGATGAAAGGAACAGTGTTCAAAGAGTTCCAACATTCCAGGGAATATGACTCAGGCTTCAGAGGGTAGAGTCCTAGAACAGGCAAAGCTCATAAAATCAATGACCGCCCAGAAGCCCAGGAAAGGAGGCACAATTTGCCCACACATCCTTGGAAGGCAGGACTGGCCATGATTTGGATCAAAGGTGACCAGGTCATGTTGCTAAGTCATCCACCTTCTCTAAAAAGAAGATTTTGATAGGCTCCTCTTCTTTCCTTCAGGAAGAGTTTGGGGTCTAGAATCCAGATAATGCCACTGTAGGAGCACTGAGTGAGGTAGAGCTGGGCAAACAGATGAACTTGCCTTTAAGAAGGCATGATGCAGGGTACCTACCTGGCCAATTTCCTCTCCTGACTTTTGCCAGCTAATATATCAGGTATAAGAGATGCAGAGTTCATTGTATTATTGCTCAGTGATGTATTTATATTAAGGAAAAGAGTCATGAGTGGGAACCATGCCTTGATCATATCAAGCAGGCATTCTTGCGTCCATGGAGTGGGAGGAGGAAAGACAAGGAAAGGCAACTAACTCAGACATGGTTCCCACTGATATGCATCAAAGATTTCCAAATATACTGAGTGAAAGAAGCCAAATCAAAACAGAGTGCATACTTTAGGACTACATTTCCATAAAACTCTAGAAAATGCAAACTAATATATGGTGGCAGAAAGCAACAGATCAGTGTCCTTAGGAGTGGGGGAGCAGAGAAGGGCAGGAGAGAGAGATGCACAAGGGCACAAGGAAATTTCTAGGGCTGATGGATATTTTCACTCTCTTAATTGTGGTGGTATTTTCACAGATGGATATGTGCACCAACACTTATCAAACTGTACAAGCTAAACATGTACAGCTTATTGCATGAAAATTATACTGCAATAAAGGTAAATTTCAGAACATCATTCAAGCTAAAAAATATCAAAGGTTGAAATCATCCTCAAAAGTCATCTTGGTCCTCCGATTTCTTGGATGTGATATAGTCAAACAGCTATGAAACCCAGCCCAAGGTAAAGTTCATGGGAAAAAACAAAAGCTGGAGCCCAGCAGACACCCGCTACCCAAATACCTGCCTTCTGAGGTACAGGAAAAGGCTGATCCTGACAGCTCAGTTCCACAAAGCTGCCAGCTGAGTAGCCAATTCCCATGTGACCTATATTCCACTGGCCATATCCACATTACCAGCAACAGCTGGGAGGGGTCCCCACCTCCCACTCAGTTAATGATCCAGTCAAAGCTAGAGCAAGGCAAAAAGAGGAAGCAACAAAGAGTGTATTCTCCTCTGCCTTCCAGAGGTAATCCTTGGTGTCCAGCCCATGGCAAAAAGCCCAATACCATGAGGGTAATAAAATTAAAAAGATGCCCAAAAGACATATTCTGAAGGACCCTAAAAGATGGCCCTGAATTTGGGTCAGAGCTTCTCTGGCCTCTGTCTTACCTGCTGAGAAAGGAGGGATATCAGGAATAACAATGACTTTACTAAGCATTTCAAATTATTTCCTCAGGCTTGAGTTGTAGCTATTCCCAGGTACCTCCATCAGCCCCTGACTGACTCCTGCTATGGCCACTCCAACCCAGGTAGGGACATGGTTAACTCACCTATGAGAAGCTCAGGCTTCTTCACCGCCAGTCAGCTACCTGACACCTCATCTTCTTTCCTGCCAGACACCAACAAACACCCAGCCTCCTTCCCACACCTTTTCCTGTGGACTATTAGGGTGCACTACCTGGCCCAACTCAAGCCCCTCAGAGCTGCCCCTCAATGCCCCTGCATGGATTGCCATATCCTTGACCTCCAACAATGGGCAAACCACATGCTACTTGCACACCTCTGGCCTTTCTCTCTGGGGTGTGGGCTCCTTGATACCCTGCTGCATGCTGGAGGCTCCTGTTGCCTCTGCTTTGAGTAATCCTTCTGGGCTTTGCATCAGCCTTGCGTCAGGAGGAAGGCTGAGCATCCTACAAGAGCCAGGATCAGCCTTCAGAGAGGAATGGATTAGAGATCACTGACAAGATGGAAAAAAGTCTTGGGAACAACTCGGAAAACAAAATGCCTCTTAAGTTTTCTGGGCCCCAGAGTGAGAAGAGCACCATTTCTTTCTCTCAAACAATATTATGACATCCTCACCAACTCCAAAGCCAAGAAGATGTAAAACAAAGACACATGTCTTAAAAAGGTGGAAATAGTTTCTGAATGTGTTCTGTGGCAGCAAAAACATTCAAATATTCATCTCCATCAAAAACTTCCCAATCTCCCAGAGGAGAGTCAGAGAAACTAACAAAGGGGATTGGAAGAAGCAAAAGATAAAGCTGAAGGGGTGGTGTGTCTGCCCCCACATCACCTGCTTCAAACTTAACTTTCAGTGCCAAAGCATTTTATACTGCTGGTCTGCTTTCCCAGCAACACTGGAGGTTTTGAATATGGAAAGTGCCAGCCATCGATCTGAAAGACATGGTCAGGACTGTAGAATCCTATAAATAGATAACAGTTTACAAAAGTTCTGGGCTAGGGCACCCACACAGGCTGTGGGTAGGTCCTTCTACCACTAAACACAACCATCTGTCAAACATAACACTTTGTAAAAGGGGGTTGGGAAGGAGTGAGCTGATGACTGACCAACGTGGGGAAGTGGAGAGAGAAGACATCAATCCTCAAGTGGGGCTAGTAAATCCAGGGTTGAGGATCTTGATGGACCCAAAGGACAGCGATCTCATGACTGCGCTGGGCAGGTGAGATCGACCATAGCTGTGAGCCCTGGAGCTCTGGCTTCTGATGAATAGAGAAGCCTCCCAGCAGGCTTGGTAGGAAATGTGGGGACCCGGGAGAACAGGAGAAGCGGGCTCCCCAAGGAGGACTAGGGGCGGAGCAGTGATCGGGGGACATCTGAAAGAGACCTGATGGCTAGCTCTGCTGGCCTTCCCAGAGAGCTGGGAGTATCCACGAAGAAAGCAGAGCCCGGGCATCACAAGCTTCGAGAAAGTGGGGAAGCTCGACACAGACGCTAGGGATTGAGAGAACAGCACCTAGTGTCACCCGGAAGCCTGGATCTCGAGGCAAGAAGCAGAGTGCCTAGTGGTGGAGAGGGACGCCAGACCCAACAAAGAAGAGGCCGGATACCCATTCCCGGTGGGGAATCGCGATTCGCGGGACGCGGACTCCCGGGACTGCCTCCCTCAGGTGAGAGGGGAGACGCAAACTGCGGGTGTGGAAGGTTGAGGTGTCTGGAGTCCGGCAGGTGCCGGGCGGGGATCTCTCACCTGCAGAGCACCAGGAAACTCAAGATCACCAGCAGCAGGAGTCCGAGTGTGCGGCCCGGCTTTCGCCCGATGCTCCACTTGCCCATCGCGCGATCGCGCAGCGCGCAGGGACCGCAGCTCGCACTGTAGCCGGGACTCAGCCGCGCGCGGGAGTCTCGGGACGGGGGGGGCGGGGCCGCACTCTGGTCGCCCGGGCGACCGGACCGCGTCCCGCCCGGCCCGCAGGCGCTCATTGGCTGAGGCCTTCCGCCCCGCCCCATTCGTCCCCGCCTAGCGTAGGCGGGGGCGGAGCCTGCAACGGAGGCGGGGCGGGCTGCCTCCCGGAGCAGTTTCCAGATCCTGGAAGGTTCCCGGGAGGCTCTGGGGGTCTCCCCCGCCCACCTGCCCTTAGTCTCAGGGAGGCGCTGGCTGTTTCTATTTTACTTCACGAGATATGCAAACAGGTGCAGAAATACTGGGCCAGTGTTGCCCAGTCCTTGCGCATCGTAGAGCACACCCCCCACCTCGCTACATTAGCAAGCATGTATTAAAGGCGCCTGCAAAGCCAACACGATGTTTTAAAACAATTCAGATTTTGAAGAAAAAAAAATTTGAAGTAGTGAAGTATCATATGAAAAGTCAGAACATTGTAGAATTTCCTTTAGACATATTTTATGACTTAGTGTAGCATGAGGGGTGGTGAGGTGGCCAAGAAGGAGCACCAAAATATTTCTTGCCTTTAGTTTCTTATTCTGGTCCTGACTCCCAGCACTTTCAATTTTTTATCTTTAAAAAAAGTCCAGATAAAACCCTCAAATTTTATGCAAGGATGAATACAATTCTTACGGGTACAGAATTATGTCACAAAGGATACTGTGTAATATTTGGGCAAACTTATGCTTTCTAAAAATCATATACCCAATTCATCCCAAGAACAAAATTCAGGTTTTACTGCAAAAAATCTGAAACATTTTCTAGGAAGGCTAATGTTTTTTCAGAGCATCCGAGTTTCTAGAAAATATCCCCTGTTGCATGTTTCAAAACCACTTCCTACACTTGTACATAGTTTTGAACTTGTAAAGCTGATAGGAACAAAATGAGATTTTACTTCTCAGAACAAAGACATGCAGAGTTTGGTGTGAAGGGTCCTTTGACTAGCATTAGGCAAATATTTAGTATGGAGCAGAAGTTAAACCAAGGAGAGGAAAAAACAACCAAACAAGTTGGGGGGGGGGGGGGGCGGATAGCAGGGCCAGAAACAATCCTGGAGACATTTAGAGAGAGAAGTATCTCCTCTTTCACACTCTACAAAATCAGTACCTTTTCCCCATTTTTTTTTTTTGGTAATTAGGCAGCCATTTATTTTTTTTAATAATTATTTTATTTTATTATGTATGTTAATCACCATACATTACATCATTAGTTTTTGATGTAGTGTTCCATGATTTATTGTTTGCATATAACACCCAGTGCTCCATTCAATACATACCCTCTTTAATAGCCATCACCAGGCTAACCCATCCCCCCACCTCCCTCCCCTCTAGAATCCTCAGGTTGTTTCTCAGAGTCCATAGTCTCTCATGGTTCATCTCCCCCTCCAATTTCCCCCCCTTCATTTTTCCCTTCCTACTATCTTCTTCTTCTTTTTAACATATAATGTATACTTTGTTTCAGAGGTACAGGTCTGTGATTCAACAGTCTTACACAATTCACAGCGCTCACCATAGCACATACCCTCCCCAATGTCTATCACCCAGCCACCCCATCCCTCCCACCCCCCACCACTCCAGCAACCCTCAGTCCATTTTTTTAAAGACATATAATTGCTTCATAGTATTTTGGACTATGATGAAAATATTCTGATATAATTGGGATAAAAGCTAGCCCATGAGACATGGAGAAAGTGTCAAAGGTTAGCCCCCTTTTTACCTTTGGAGACCTATTCCTGGCACATACCCAACACTCACCCCTCACTCCTTGTGTATTGCTGGGCAGTAGTACAATCTATTACACATGAGGGTATCCTGAAATTAATAATCAATACCAGCATCTCCATATTTTTTTCAGATATTAGTAAAAACCTGTTAACATGAGCTATAAAACCTCTGAAATTCTTAGCCCATCCCTGTATCCCTCGTTTTTATTTATGAAAGAAAACATAAATAGCTCTTTTAAAAAAATCATTAGCCCTTAACTTTCTGGGAAGCTCAGAACTATAGATACAGCTACCCACAATTTAGGAACAATTTCACTTTATCTGGCTTTAATGATACCACAGAGAGTGTTACAAAGATAGCATTAATCTGAGAGGTGTTTTGCTGAGGAGTCAAGATTTTTGGTTTTTAAAATATTAGCAAGATACTCCTTCAAAATACTCCTTTCCAAAATGTGTAATGAGTTTAACCCAAAGCAGACAATGAAATACTCAAATCCTGGGAACAGAAGCTACAGTTAAATGAACTGACCTGGTGGAGATGTAAAAACGTGGTCTGGCAAGGCTCATGGATGGAAACAAATCCCTGATGCTCAGGAATCAATCTTCATAGGCTACCTTTCTGGTGTCAGGGTTTTGGTTTAGAAAACATACAAAACTTTTTTTTTTTTTTAATAAAATCCTGTTGACATCCTCAGCCCACGACTCTAAGTTAGAGCTCCAACAGACCCAGAGAGCACAGTTCCTTCTTTGAGAAGTCACGTCTCCCACATAGTATACAAAGAACCCTGGGCGGGGGGGCGGGGGGGGGTGGTAATAAAAGCTACAGTCATTCAGAATCAGTACAGTGGGGGCTCTCAAGAAAGATAATCATATCAAACTAACCTTATTGGCTGTTTTATTTTTATTTTTAATAGGTAACAAACAGGTTTATAGATCAATTATTCACGTCTTATTTTTTAGTGCACTGTGCTAATGCCTTAAGTATAATGTGTCTGAATTTTAGAAAAACATTTGATGAAGTCTTTCCTAAAGTCATGAGAAAAAGATGCAAAATGTGGCTTCTGTAGAGCAGCTATTTGGGTCCCTGGCCCATGATACAACCAACTCTTCTTCACCCTCTTCCTTATAGACAGACACCTGGACCTGCCCTCCCCACCCACCCTCTCCAGCTCTTTTGCTCCATGTTATGTGACAAGACCTGTTATGATGTCAAGTTGTGAAAGAGTCTTGAGCAAAGAAATTAAAAACATGGGGGAGGGCGCCTGGGTGGCTCAGTTGGTTAAGCGACTGCCTTCAGCTCAGGTCATGATCCCAGGGTCCTGGGATCGAGTCCCGCATTGGGCTCCTTGCTCTGCGGGGAGCCTGCTTCTCCCTCTCCCACTCCCCCTGCTTGTGTTCCCTCTCTCACTGTGTCTCTCTCTGTCAAATAAATAAATAAAATCTTTAAAAAAAATAAAATTAAAAAAAATTTAAAAAAAAGAACATGGGGGAATTTCTGGGAATAAATGAGGGCAATTTCAACCATAGACAAAAAGAAAATAGAAAGTCCCAGGAAGGTGATTTTGGCTTTGGAAAAAGAAATAGGAAGCAGATCCAAGTTAAGATAAGTAGTCAAGGCTTCTCACTCCAAGAGATGTGTCAGTGGGACTGGAAGGGACCTGTATCCACTGGGGAGGGATGCACTGAACTTCATCATTGGCCTTTGTAATCCAAAAATATCACTTTTCAGCCTCAGCCTTTGGAAGGCAGAAAAGCCAAAGACCTAATTCAATATTTCATTCGTTAAGAAGTAAGCAACAAATGTTTAATGACTACTATGTGCTGAACAGTTTTAGGTGCTTACAGTACATCAGTGGACAAAACAGATGAGGGTCCTTCCCTTTGAAATTTATACTTTAGCGGAGGAAGAAAGACAACAAAAGTTAAGAAATGAATAAGTAAATTGTAGAGTATGTCCACAAGTAATAAATTGCACTGCAAAAAGAAAGTAGATAAAAGAAGGGGATTGTGAGCGTTGGGGGGAGGGGTGTGCACAGAGGAAGCCCTACTGAAACAATGTTAACTGAGCAAAGATCTGAAAGAGGTGAGAGTTAACCATGCATGCAAATATCTGGAGGAAGGGCTATGCAAGCAGAGAGAACCCACAGTGCAAAGGCTCTCAGGCAGGAGCATGACAGGGTGTTCTGGGAACTGCAAGATCCCCATGGGAAGTGAAAGGGAGGTGGAGAACTACAGACAGTGAGGTCAGAGAAGTACAGGGGCCTAATGATGGAAGGCCTTTCAGAGGAGGACTCTGACTCCAAATGAAATGGGAGCCATTGCAGGCTTTGGACATCAATTATGCTTTGAAAGACTCCTCTGGTTGCTGTGCTGAGGTTCACCAGAAGTGGGCAAGAGCAGGAGAAAGGAGACCCGCTTTGAGGCAGCAATCCCAGTGAGAGATGATGCTGGCCCACACATGGGTGGTAGGAAGGAGGTGGTGGGAAGTGTTGGATTTCTGGAAATAGTTTGAAAGCAGAGACTGGCGGATTGTCGTGATTCCAGGATCATTTGTCGGGTGAGAGAAATAAGGAGGATTCAAGAATGACTCCAACATATCAGAAGCACAACTTGGGCTAGTTGAGTTTGAGATACCTGTGAACGTGCTAGTAGAAATATCACGTAAGCTATTGAATGCACAAGCCTGAAGTTCAAGAGAGAGGTCTGGCATGGAGATATAAATTTACACATTGATATATAGTTGGTATTTAAAGGCATGAGCCTGGGTGAGATCACCAATGAAGTAAGTGCAGGCAGAGAAAGAGGACCAAGGATGAGCCCTGAGGCACCTGACACTGAGAAAAGAGGAGAAACCAGCAAAGTTGAACTAGAAGGAGCTGCCAGTGAGGCAGGAAGAACACCCAGAAAAGATGGCATCCTGAACACCAAGAAAGAGAAGTTACCAAGGAGGAAGCAGTAATGACCTATGTTACATGGTGCTGACAGGTCAAGTTAAGGAAAGGCTGATAAGAATCAGTGGATTCAGTACATGGAGGGTTTTGGTGACTAGGATGCAGGCAGCTTAGGTGGAGGTGGGAGTTAGGGTCAGGGAAGCTGACTGGAATAGGTTTAGAGAGGATGAAGAATCTAAGAGTGAAAGGGGAATCAATAATTGGAACAGTAGCTGGTGGTTTTTAACTCGGAGTCAGGGGTAGTATTCTATCTTCATTTCTATTTTAGATAGAAACTACCACATAC